TTAAAAATTCCAGAAACTATGAATATGCAAATTTGGTTCATTTCTAAAGTTCTTCTGCTGGAAACAGGATGTCTCACCTCAACCCAGCCATAATACTAATACATATATTATTCATATATCTATCTAATAGTTTGTCGTATGTACACTTATCTAGCCCATGACGGACAAACCAAACACTGGCTGTAGATAGGACTTTTTGCTGTAGATGGGCTATTGTAGTTTCTCACACACACTTCACAGCCTATTCTGGTGCCAGCAGTGTTCAGTTAGTTGCAGTGTGCAACCTACCACTAGATGCCACTAAATCCTACACACTGGTCCTTTATGACATATAAAAATCAGCTTGGAACAATAATGTGTCCCAGCCATAATACTAATACATATATTATTAATATATCTGTCTAATAGTCTGTCATATGTACACTGGTTTACCTAATTACAACGTATGCCTTTATTTTAAAAGAAAAATCCCACCACTTCCTGTCTCTCTCTGGGAAACCGCGACTACCTTGGCGTAAACCTTCATCGCTCCAATCCGAGCGGCCCAAAGCGTCAGCTCGCCCTGTCCCTCAGCCAATAAGCAGGGTCGTAACATGGGAGAGGGAACACCGTGATTTCTGTCCACTGGGGGTGGGGACAGCCAGGGATTACCCATCACACACAGGCACGCACTTAATTCCCCAACAAAAATAAGATGTCAGAATTGAAAGACTTAATGATTATAAAATGATAACCGAGCAGTTTGGTTATCACCTTGCTCCCACATCATCCCTCTCTTTGTCTTGCATATGCAAACATGGGCTCTCTATTGCCTTTCACTTTGCTTGTCACTTTCACTGTCAGTTTCCTGACCTTTGATCCCTGTAGTATCTTGTGACACTGATCCATTATGCTCAGTCACACTCCCGGAACAGTTTCTGGTTACAAAACCGCTGCCAAGTAGACTATTGCTTATTTGTCATACACAAACAGTAGACACAACCAGGAAACCTGACACTGCGGCCCATTTCAGGAATGTGGGATTAAAGGGGAACTCCTATCTGTCAGCATAGCCCTGTGAGCATCCCTCTGTATTGTAACTGGCTCCTGCTGGGAGTCACTCTCATATTTAAAAGCCATTTTCAATTCATAAACTCCGCTTTTCTCCCCCCTGAGGGTCACTGAGGTCACTGGGTCGGTATTTTCCAGTGAGAACACCACCTGGGCTTTTCCTGGATACTAAGTGTCACCTCTCACTGTGTTAAAGTCAGTCCTGGGACAGCTTGTTCACCATCCATTGTGTTTTCATGAGTTGTGCGTCCTCCTTCTGTCACCATGGCTAAGTCAAGGCTTCCAGAAAAAGGAAAGGCGGGGGAGTCCACAGTGGAAACACTCAGTGCACGCCAAGACAACCTGCTGGGGTGATCGCTCTGGCCTCTTGTTTGACATTTCATGGAGTGACAGCCAGTTGTTATGCGGCTGCCAGGCACGCACATTTTCTGCCTGGCATTTGTGCCGCTCGCCTCCCAGGCTGTCTAATTATTTACCCATGGTATGATAATTTACCTCATGACTTATTTCACAAACAGAGCAGGAGAGAGGGACAGAGAGAGTGAACAGGGATGGGGAAAAAAAGCCCCTAAGTTACATATCCACCACCGCCCATCTTGACACTTTCCCCAGTAATGGCTTCAGTTTCAACTGTTTACCCAGAGAACACAGCAGCCTGTATTTGCCTTTGTGTGTGAACGCACTGTATCTGTGTGAATATTCATGAACCGCAGTTATGATCTGCCTTGTGTTGTGTTGCAAATGAGATCATAAGCAGCCATGATGACTAATACAAAACCATTGTCCGGAAATGCCAAATTAGCACCATTCCACATGAGGTTATCTTCTGCTAGATGGTCCAGTAACAGTATGTCATAAACAGGGCTGTAGCCAGGGTTTTGTGAGGACAGGAGTCCAAAGTCTCCCAGTGAAACCCCACCTGACTAAAAGTGTGTTCGGAGTGAACTAAACTCATTTTAGAATTGGTGTGAGTACATAAGAAGCCAATGTAAAGATACGAGTGGAGGTGACATGAATTTGCAGTACAAACTGAGGCAAAGGGTTTGGACAAAATAAAAAGTTTTCAGCAAAGAAAATTGCGCTAACCCTCTTTTTTAAAAAGATTATTTTGGGGCTTTTTCATTATGATAGTGAGGGGAAAGTTGGCGATGAGATGCAGCAAAGGGCCTCGGGTAGGAATCGAACCAGGGAAGTTGCCGCAAGCCTTTTTACATGGGACACCACCGGGGCACCCCTATCCCCAGTCCACCTAATAAACACACAGAGATAAGAGGAATAATGAGAGAGACTGGAGGAAAATAACAGAAAAAACCTGCACATTTATTCTTTTGGCCTTTTCATGCCTTTATTAGAAAGGGACAGCCGAAGATAGACAGGAAAGGTGGGTAGAGGGAGAGGGGATGACACACAGCAAAGGGCCGCAGTTTGGATTCGAACCCAGGCCGCTGCAGCAACTCCATATATCAGTCGCCAGCTCTACCAACTGAGCTAAGCGGGCACTCTGCACATTTATTCTTGATTAAGAATCATTGTGTTTTTGTTACCTTAGAATGAGATGTTTTTATCTACTTCCTCTCCCTCCAGTAGCCCATAACGGACAAACCAAACACTGGCTGTAGATAGGCCACCGTAGACCCGACCCTGAACCTGGTGGGTTGTGTCAGGTCCATTCAGGTTGGGCAGAGAAATAAAGTATTGGACACAAGATGTCTCCTACTTCCATTCTCAGTGTATGTGCACTAATGGATTCAAGTTTCTACATCAGGCTTTAACAGATGAATGTGAAAACATCCTTCTAGTGTGTCTAATGCACAGACAGCATTCAAACAGCACACTGTAGGAACAAGAAGAAACAGTGATTTCTGACTGGAGGGGACTTTAATGTTTTATGAGACAAATAGCCTTGGGAATGTAAATGTTCAAATGTCCTTCCAGAGGAAGGATTTCTAGGGTAGATGCTGGATGAAATGAATCTCTAACCTTTATCAGAGCCTTTTTTGAGCCAAGCCCAACCGTATAAATCAAAGAGAGACATGGGATAGTGTGACCAATAGTTCTGGATGCAGTCTTAACTATTTTCTCCAGTACATTCCTTTCAGAAGAAGTCAGGCTGCCAAACTAAACTGTAGCAGAGAAAGTTATCATGCAAATCCAACAGGCCAGAGCCAATTTATTGTCCAGAGAAAGCTTCACTGATGTCATCTTGCAGGCATTCGGGCCATTGAAGTCAGTAGGTTTAGCTTGAACTGCCATTTTGGGCCACAGAATGATACTTCTTGTTGTCCTGAACACATTCCAAACTAGGCACTGAGACCAGGGCTGGAGCCATTGGACACCACCATCAGGTGTTTAGTAGCTTCTGAGAATAGGGGGCAACCTTAAGAGGAGTCTACAGTACTGTAATGATACACACATTACAACTAATTCTATTTGAAACTGCAGTAATCAATATTTTTAGCAATGGCAATGTACAGACTGAAATATCTCAACAACTACTGGATGGATTGTAATTTGGTACAGATATTCATGGTATCCAGGGGATGAATGCTTCTTCAATGCTAACTTTGGGGACTTTTCCTTTTGCGCCACAAGCAGGTGTGCCAGCTATACTATGGCTTTTAGGGGAGCTCACTTTTTCTACTTTCACAGGCAAATCTATTTTCTGACCTGAAGTTAATGATATTGGGCTGTTACGCTTCAGTGGCAATGGCAAGAACAGCAGTATCTTTTTGAAATTAGTGATGAGTCACCCTCATGCACAAATCATACATCAGTAGTAGCTTCAGTTTATGCATAATCCATGATGATGAAGATGCAGAAAAAGAGAAATGCATGGCAAAAATAGCAGATTGCAGTCCTTCCGAGAAGTTTTCGATTGCTGCGATTTACACCTATTAACCTTGCAATGTGGTCCAATCACCGCAACATTTCCCCAACTTTGACCAATAATGGTAGTTTCCTATGTTTAAAATGGTAAGTCATATCACCAAACTCACTTCCTCGTTCCCCTTGTGTTGAAGAAATAGTGTGATTTTATTCTCACTGGAACAAGCTGCCTTCAATCTTTAATGAACTTTCACTTTCTGTTACAATAAAAAAATATCTAAACATGGCGGACACTGTAGATAAAAATGGCTCATTCTAAAGTAACAAAAACAAAAAAATTATTAATTTCAGATGATTATACACAAAATACCTATGAATATTATAGAAATAAAAATCGAAATGCAGCTTTTATCAAGGATTCTGACCCACAGTAGGAAGTATAATAGCATGGAAGTAGATGATGACAAAAAAATATATTTTGGCTACGTTCAAACTGTAAGTGACCCAAATATGAGCTCAGATTTTTTGCAATGTGACCTCGGTGTGAACAGTCATATCAGAATTCATGTGATTTTTACGTCACTCTAGATCTATGTTGGCCATGTGGGTCACTTCAGGACTGCGACCTGTCCACACTGGAATCAGACATGGTCCACATTTAAAAAAAGAATATTAAAGCCACACAAATCAGACCTGAGCAATAAATCAGAA